AAAAGTCAACGTCGATAAAGAAAAAAAAATGCCCCTCCCGTTCCAAGCACCCTTTTGAGCGTAAAATTGCGACGATAAGGGCCGAAAATCTCATGAACTTCATTTTATAGATATTGGCTACAGTCTTCGGAGCAGATGGACTCGATAAATCCTTACACTCAAACACCGAACAAGAACCACGCCCATTTAACCGAATAAAAATCACAATTGCGTGATGCTTTTGCCTTATTTGGAAGTATCATGCTTTATGCGGTAATGAGAATTTTGCAGTAAGGAGAAACAGAAACTTCGTCGAATAAACGACGTTTTTGAAGCAACATCGATGAACGCAGTCGAAGTGTTCTGGTCGTTCAATGATGTTAACCACAGAGAAAATCGTAATCGTTTAAATTTTTCTGTTGCATCGCGTGAAACCCATGTCTATTCCTCGTGGATTTATTTACATTTTCCACACGGGTAAATTTTGTAATAAGCTTTTCTAAACCAACTGTATGTACATGATTTTATATTCGCGACTTGCGTAACAGCCCAATGGATGAGCTGATGCATTATCTTCTAGGTTTTTTTTTTACATTTTCGTGGTGCTCTTCAGTCTTTGATCTGCTAACAGGCAGAATGTCAGAACATTTCTTGGTTATTTATTATAAAGTTTCGAAACATTTCCTCGCCGACCAGTATGTCCTTCGTTGAAATTATTTCTGCGATATTCCGAGCTCATCAACTCAGTCTGGTTCCAGGATCGTTTGAAACATTTCTGTAAATCTGTGAATCTTTAAAAATGAAAGAAATATATTTGTGGTTTACTTTTTCAATACTGCAGTCGCCGTATGTGATTACTGTACTTCTCTGACAGGCGCATGGCTTAAACCAGAGTTTCTCAATCTGTGCTCCGTGAAGCCCCTGAACCCCGCCTCCGTTCCCTGGAGGCTTCGCTGCCACTCCAGGGAAATATTTGGCTCAGAAGTGGAATTAAATTTGATATTGATCTGAATTACGTACAAAAATACGCGGACCCACATGTCCCTATCCCAAGGTGAGCTCAATTCTACTCCCAAGCGCAATCTCTTCGTGATGACGACATCACTTCGTCATGATAATGCATTCGACAAGGAGCTCTGTCGTTAAAAATGTGTTTTCTAGGCTTCCATTAATCAGAAAAATTTATATGAGAGGGTTTTCGAATCATTCTAAAAAGTTTATGCTAAACTTTTCGGTAGCGAAAGTTATGTCTCGCAATGTAGACTAGAAAATTCAAAACTATTGTGGCTTTTCTCGGCGATGACCTCAAGTAAAAGCAAGTGAAAACTTGAACGATGAGGTGGGCTTGATTTCTCGTGGACACGCAGAACTCTAGGAAAATCCGTTGAGAATTTTTGAACAGTGTGCTGTCATTTTTTTCATGAAATGAAGCAACTGCACGATCTGGAATCAGTGTTTCCTCCGATTCAATGAAATGTTTCGTCAAAGGTTTTTCATCATCTAAATTTTCCAGTTCGCCATTAAGCGACCATTTCCGCTGATTTCCATTCCAATTTTCATCACCGTTATCTGCGTGAATGTAAAATGAGAGAGGAATGCTGATTCTCAACGCAAACAGAGGTGCGGATGAGCATGGAATTACTGTATTTTGGGACCGCGTCCAATATTTCTGGGTCCTTTCAATTGGAGACTTCCATTAAATTATATTTTATTTTTAGTCCTGGATAATTACCAGCCGGTTCATCAACAATGTACAACTACCTTGCCGACCGATTGAAAAATGCGCTATTCCTGAAAAGTTTGAAAGGCGTGGTGTTATGATCCGGGAATAACTTAACATTCAAGGCCGCCCAGAATATTTCAAGTCGGTTTTCGTACAGAATTTTTCTAAAAGGAAGACTAATGAAAAACGGAATATAGACTCCTGTGCGAGTTCAAATTAAAATATTTTCTTTCGCTTTGTTGCCCTTTTTGTCCATCGTACTATAAGCCGTATGACTATAATTGAAAAAGAAACGCACCATTCTATTAAGATGGCCCAAGATAACTTATTTCACCAGCTACAATGCCTGAAAAACTGAACGATCGGAAGCTGAATTTGAGCCCATTTGAATTTTTTACTCAATCGGCTCTCCGAAAACCAGCAGTGAGCGATCGTAGTTTTAGTTTTTCTTTTAAATCATGTTCAATTGGATACCGCGCGGAATGCCTTTAGCGACGCACTGCGACACGAATCCTACAAATCTTCCAATTGATCGCGGCCCTGGTTATTAGCAATTCTGAGGATGCAGCTAATGAAATCAGAGCTTCTTATTTTATTTTTTTAGGATACCCCGCATCGTTGGCAACGTTGTCTCTGTGCAGCCCCATTCCGCACACGTCCTGACCCGAGGGGATAACGCCGGCCTCGTTTGTTCCTCCTGTCGTCGTGCGACTGGCTGTGTTGTCCAGGCTGGTTGTGCTGTTTCTCAGAATTAATGCCCTCCGAGATATCTGCTGCCGTATCTTTTCCTACCAACTGTGCTGTTGAATGTGTCTCCGGTTCTGTTATATGTGGCTCCACCGTCTCATTCGCAGACTCTGAAAACAGAGAGAGAAAAGGCGCCACGCGTGGTACTTGAAAACTTGCTGCGGACCCTGTTTCCTTGGGAGCCTGAGTATCGACCAAACTCGACTCCAGCGGCCAGTTGTTTCAGCATGGGGAAAAAAGGGGCCTGGGGAAAGAATTTTGACGTACCTTTGACCTCTGCGAGCTCCATTGGATCGTAAAGGCACTGACGTCACGGTATCACTCAGGAATGTCACTGGTGAAATCACGAACGCGTCCGGTCGTCCATCACTTTAAAAACGACTCAACCCGCATTGACTTACCGTGGGAAGGAAGGAAAAAAACGTTTGTGCATCGTTAACGAAGGACAATAAACATGCAACAATCATGTGGCGATTATTAGCAGCTGATGCCACGTGGGCGTCGTTTAGTAGCTGATGAAATAAATGGGCGGAGGAAAAAAAAAACGCGCTCCCTCGAGTAGTGATCCCATTAAGCTGCTCGCGAGCAGAGTGCTGCGGCATGCAGGTCTGTAATCGCCGTGGACTCCGGTCAACATGGCCCTGCAACAAGTGCCGGTCCAGCGCGAGCTTCTTTGCCTAGAAACGCGTTTATGCGAGTTACTCGGGGCCCTGGACGCAGAGGCCCTTTTCGTGGCTTACCAGTCCAGGGGTCGTGACGGGCGAGGCAAAGCCGTGCGTTGCTGCAGTGCCTCGGGAGAAAGGACGATCGATCCGTTGACCCTTCGTCCGCGACGCCAGGAGCAGGCTTTTGCGGGATTTTCGCCCGTTAAGTTATAGTTCTTAGTTTTGTTTCGCGCGTGGGCGGTGTCGCGTGTTGAATTGTCTGACGTCTGCATGCTGTATTTCTTTCTCGGCGAATGTCTGGGTCATCAGGGATGTCCGGAAGCCTGGGATTCGCTGCTTGGCTTCCGCTGAGATCAGGACGAAGTTCGTTTCGAGCTGCGTGCGGCCGAATGCGGACAGGCATGGCGAACTGCTTGAACGCGGAGTTTGATCACTTTGGGCGAGGGATTGTCGACGATGTTCCTGTCGCTGACCCAATTTACTTTTATGTGTACTGGAGAGCCCCGAAACATATTCAAACGATTCTCTGCAGATTAGGTCGAGGCTTCCATAATTTTTATTGATCGTACAACTTTTAAGACACGCTGGTGTTCACGTACCGCGCCTTCGAATGTTCCACCTAGCTCTGCAGAACCTTGCATGTTTCCATGGCTTCAGTTCCATTTACGACAAGGACCATGCTTCAAATGACTGTTTATCATGCAGTTCATATTCAACTTCAAGACATTATTTTTTCCCCCTTTTGATCATTCGTCCAATACACGCGTGAGCTTTCTAATTTGTCTCGAATACAGCAGTACACATTTGACACTCCCTTGTTTTCATGGAAAAATTCCGAGTACCACACGGATTGGAAAGCCCTTCTTCAGGTATCGAAAATTTAATTTGCGTGTCATGATTCAATTGAATCTTTGTTCGCAGCACCATGTTTACGTGATTATATGCGGCGTGTGACCAGGGGACAGCTTTTTATATTAACCATTTAGTATTCGAAGGGAAAAAAGCTTCACTATTGTATACATAGTCTCTCTAAAACGCGGGAATAGTGTGCTTGTTAATGGTATCAGGTGTTGAACAGAATTAGGTTAAGGCCTGACAAGACAGGTTGCCGTTGAAGGATCTGGAGGGTTCGAAATGATGGTTAATTATCTCTTCAAATGTTTTATGTACGTTTGTTTGGTTAGATCTAGTTGGTTTCCCAAGTGTCGGGTAATTTTTACACTTTTGAAACACTTTTTGGGAATAAAATGCAGTACATGACTGTATTCCATTCGGTAGCCATAAAGTAAAAAAAACCATAGTTTATTCTTGAAACAATGTACCGTACTGAACCCATTTATTCTGAACTGTATTTGGATATTTAGTTTTCTACAGCTTCAAAAAATTGAATTTAGTTCCCGAAGTACATCTAGATAAAATTAGTTTCCTCTTGAGGTGGTACATTATATTGTTCCGGCATGGTGCGGTTGCTGCATATATGCGTTGAAAGCTTTTTTCCTTTTTTGGGGGATGACTAGCATTTTTGGCCTATGTTTCATGAACCTCTAAATATGTTTTCATCTTATCGTAGTTAGCTGGAGCGGTAAATCATCATTTTTAATGTGGTTTATGTGGGACAACTTCTGTTGCTTCATGTACATGTTTTAATGATTATGTGGCCGGCATGTTGTGAATAAATGCGAAAGTAACATGAAAAACCTTTCTGTTCTAAGTGCTGACATTCTCTGATGATATTCTCAGATATATCACTGATTCCTCTTCCCACTCGTGAAGCCTGAAAACACTCTTTAAATATTCAATTGTTGGGCCCGTGACTCATTCGAATTATTCTGGGGGTCATGAACGACGATATGACAAAATAGTTCAAATAAAGGAAAAGCATAGACTCTGGCCAGATTTCAGTCAGCTTCATTTCGGCTCTGTCATCAGTTTTCCTTTCTTGACACGACATGCCTATTGTGTTCTTCTCAATCGTCTCAGAATCCGACGGCGAGGGGACTCGGCCACTTCACGGTAACGCACCTGGACATCGTTCGATCCTCTACAAAATGAGCCGTCAAAAGCAGAAGCAAACCGGATATAATAGCTAAAACATGCATTTCCCAGGTCTCGGAACATCCGTCTCGCTAACGAGTTGCTCGCCAAAAAAAGACAAAAAAAGAAGCGCAGGACAGGCGTGTAAAGCGCATCGCGACTAAGGAGCCCGGTAACCTGGCCTGAAAGACGATTCGGGAGCATTACGGTGATTCGGCTCCCTGGGGTATGTGAACGTCGTGCTCAGTCACGGCTGGCTGCGAGCCCCGGTGAACAATCTGGTGAGTGTGGAATCTCAAACGGGCGACAGCACTTAACCAAGAAGACTTGTGCCGTTCTGCTCTTCTCCCCGGGGAACGAGTGCGCGGAAACGCAGAGGAGGCATTGAGAGCAGGAGCGAGAGCAGCCGTATTAGCGACAGTAGGTGAGCACGGACGCTAGAGGCCGAAGTTGAACATCTACTATCGACGCAACCGTGGTCTGGCTCCGCTTGCAGCCTATCAGGTGAAAGACTCTCGGGTTGCGCATCCCAAATGCCGCGAGGGAACCCAGGTCGGCGCTTGAACACGGCTGAAACGAGGCTCGCATGTGCACACTACTCGACCGCGAACATTTATTGAATGAAATCCATATTACTCCAAACGGCGAGATGCGATTTGTATGCGGAAGGTGAGCCGCGAAGAACGGGATCCAAAGAGAAAGAATGTTGTGCTACGAGTATCATGCTTTTTCCTCCGTTCTCCGGACTTATTTTGGGGAGCGAAGTCGGGACCGAGATCCCACGAAGAAGGGAAAAAAAGAAGCGAAGCTTCTTGGGACATTCAGTGCATCGACCAAATAACCGAATGGCGTTTTTCGATGAAGCTGCTGATGCCGCGTTATTTTCGTCCATATCTGCGAGGTATGCGTGGTGCTGCGGAATCGTCGAGTCTTCGAGTTGAAAGACGACGAACGAAATGTTCCAAAAATAAAATATTGCCTCCACCTCGGAATTACCGGTTTGACATGGCGTGTATGGGACCGAAGCTAACCGGCAAATGATTCTACATCCGGAACGCAGTAGAAAATCGGTTGCGAAAATGTCCCAGAGCTTTTAGCGCTGACTTATTCTCTCCACGAACTCGTCTCTTAATCTTAGACGCATTTTCTCTTATATCTTAGGAAACGCGACGCTTATCTTTTAGGGAGGGGGTTTGATTCTACAGAGGAAATTCGGAGTTGCATAAAATGAGTTGATTGCTTTCGGGGTTTGCGAATGATCCTCGACCAACTAAACACGAAAAGAGAAGCTGAAGACTGAATTCGGAGATTCAGTCGAGGAAGCCGGTGTTAACGAGCTTGTCCAGGAAAAATTTGACGTCAGCGATTTCTGAGTCCTTGATGCCGAGAGACTTGAGATGGCCGAGGTCGCCGTGTTCGACAGCCAAGAATACAGATCTCAGGTGGTCAATGTCGGACCTCATTAGGTTCAGAGCCGTTCCGAAGTCGTCAATCGTCTGCGACTCTGCAAAAAAATACAGTTTACGTTATTCCTTTCTGAACGATTCTTCTATAGCACTACGAATCATTTTCGACCAGAAGTTAGGATTTATCTGAATTTCAAACAGGTTTTTTTGAACGTGCCACGCCTGTTCTATTGGCTCAAAAATTGGGCATGTCTTACATTTAATGACGTCTCAGATACTTTTTGGATGACGTCTTCCGACTAACACAGTATTTTAGAAGAACCATCTGAACTTACATTGAATGAATCCGACAATTTTCGATTCCTCAATTACGAATGCATTGACAATCGAATATGAGTTACAACGTAAATGCCACGGGATGTCGGAATCATATGTAAAGTGAGTGCCCATGGCCAAAAAATATTTTAAATACGTATGGAGACTTTGTTAGAAAAAATCCTGCCTTTTCAGTTCTTTTATGTAAAAAAAAAAATAGTCGTTCGGAAATAGTCGAGAATGTCTAAAGAATGATATTTACTGTAATTTAAAATAATAATTCAGATGTGCCATTAGTCATGCACAGGCTTACTAGATAATTCAGCTAACTATCCGCCACACTTGAGCTCTTGATATACAGTACATTATATAATCGGGGTGAACACTGGGATGACTCAAATGAAGCTTCACAGGAGTTGCGAACAGACTTGACCCATAAGAAATAGAATAAAATTGCGTCTTACAAATGCGGGCAATATTTTTTTCAGGTTTTAGCCGTACAGAAGAAAAAATGAAAGTGCGTCCGTCAAACGATCGATTTTGTATTCGCAGTATTCCTACTTTAATCAAGTCATGGATTTTGAATTTTCCATGCAAACTAAAATTCCCCAGCGGATGACTCCCATCAGCATAATCGAGTCGCAAGATCACGAAAGGCAGGAGGATATGGTCTGGTGACAAGATGATAGATCTCCACTCCTCTGCGTCAGGGGAACGTTCGAAAATTTTGCCGGTTTTTTCCACCGCCCAAAAACCGCTCAATGTCTTTCTCCCAGCACATCTTCCTTCGCAGTTCAGCGTTAGGCGTGCTGTATTTTTTCCGAGGATTTCTGTCTTTTATTTCGTTTCAAACGGTCTCGTCTGCATCGCGTATAAGTCGTATGGGGAAAATGCTCTTCTGATCTTCCGCGCAAAATTCCATTTCTCGTTCCCCTGACTGACGGATGCCATTTGAATGGACAGGTTCCATCAGCGTTGATGCTCTCAGAAAACTTTCCTCGCTTCGCATTATGCAATTTTCTTACCTATGGCGATTCTACTTTCTTGCCGGTATTCTGCTTCCAAAATCGATTCCACACCGGACGAACCATGTTTATATTTTTATCATGAGAATTTCAAGAATATTACTAACCAGAAAGAGCGATGGCGACCTTCTCCACTCCTCCGAGTGGTCCAAGAGCGTTTCTGGCCTTCTTCCCGAACAATTTCTCCAGGTAGTTCGGTCCATGGCTTGCGAGCAATGATTGCAGGAAACTCGCAGTAGCTTCCACTGGTGGACGGCGAGCTGAAACGAAAAAGATGCGTTGCAAAAAATGGAGTCCCCGACAAGATAAAATGCAAGATTGGTTGAACTGAATATTGTAGGTACATGACACTTTCATTTTGCGTATGAATGTCGTGAATTTCCGTTGAATCGAATTGCTGCTGAATTTGGATCAATGTACCCAGTGGATTTAAATCGATTAGTGTGAACGAGTGTGTACATACGATTCACCGACCGCCGAACACGTTAGTTTAGTATCTTTAATTGGATTAAAAGCAGTGTTACATCTTTTTTGATGCCATTGGATTGATTGAAATTCAATTAGAAAAGATAAATCGATAAGCGTTCGAAAATACTCTATGTTGCTGGTGAGCGACAACAAACTGTATTAATATCAAGATATCGTTTGAAAAAATACCGAATCCACCAAAAGACGTTGGACTATTTTGGAAAAGTTTTGCGGAAGATTCTTCTCGTCTTCCAGCACAGCAGGGTATCCACATTAATGCGATGCATTCGTAATTCTTAGCGATTTTTCGGACAGTTTAATTGAAGACACTTGTATTTTTGGCATTACGCATAGGGATAGTACGTGTGCCTCATGAAAATGTTTCAATTTTCAAATTTTAATTGTTTTTTATATTTCCTTTATTGCAATTTACATTGTGAAGATTATTATAAGGATTTGAAGCTATCGAAAATAGTATGCACATAAAATGTGTTATGGTTGTTCCTATTGCCAAACTTGCCAGTGTAATGAGGATTCGCGCCATTTTTAAAGCAAAAGGATCGTTCTTTAACGTGTGCATGTCTTTGTGCAGAATTCGAGGATTCTCGAATGGCGCTCATTTTTCTTCGTTAAATACGTTCGCTGTACTGAATCGAAGACATTATTTTGTGATGAAGCGAAGTTTTTCGAATGGATGTCAGGGTTAAAAAAAGCAAAACTAATAAAAGTGACGAATGATGTTGACTGAAGTGCCCTGCGTTTCCTATTCGTATGTAGACGATCTAATAAGCTCTTTGTCATTGTCAATACCGAATGATTGCATGATCATCGAATTCGTTCCCAACATTCGGACGATCGTTAGAATTTCTTCCGCAAGTCATTGAACGGCTGGAATAACTTGATGCTGGAGCCTCGTTCTCTTCAATTTACCCCCAAGCTATTCCTGTTCTCTCCGTAGGATTCTTTGTGCGTTTTTAATGCCAGGCCCATTATTTGAATAGAATGTACCTTGTTGCGGTGCAAATTGCATGTGGAGTTACAATTTCGGCGTCTAATTTAGCGTCGGAAAAGTCTAAATGTCAGGCTACTGATCATTCTGCATCGCGATTTTTTACAGGTCGGACCAAAAATAGTGGACCGAGTACTGCTGTGTATGGAAGTGTTACGCCTTCTGAGGATCAGAGCAGTCCCAGGTTCGAGTTGTCTCATTGAAAAATGAAATTCCTTTAAATTCTCCATGATGTCCTTTTTTATGCTTCAGGTTTTTTGGTATGACCACCCCGGACATTAGAAGCACTGCACCGAATTAGTAACTGCACCGAAAAAGTTTCAATATTCTCTCTCGCGACCTTTGATCGTCGTTTTATCAGGGTTCTTTTGGTATCGCGCGCATTGAAAGTATTTGCGATGAGGACACTTCGTTATATTTCCTAAATAATATGTCGGGGTTTTCCTAATTTTTCGACGCTTCGAAATTTGCCGGGATGTTGGATAGCGAACTGATAAGTTTTGGTGGTTGCAGAAAGTTTTTTTTTTTGCTTCTGTTCCGCAAGTTCTTAAAAGCAGTACAGTATTGGATTGAGCGAAACGTCTATTAATTTGTCTGATAAGAGTGATGAACAACGGAAATACATTCAACGACTTTTTTTTTAACTTTTCTCAGAAGACGCGCGGAGGGTGGACAGGGGAATTTTCTTTTTTTATTCGCACAGTTCAGTTGTACTGTATTTATAATACACTCTAAGAACAAGAGGTTCAGATGATCAGATTAATTTTTAGTCAAATGAACCACACCAGGAAATTGATTCAGGAATTTCTCAGGCTGTTTTATGTATGATTTGTAACACATCAAAGTGTACATTGGACATTCAAGAAAAAGATTAAAATAATGATGTCATCACAAATTTTGAATGTATTGATTTCCTTTTTCAATGCAGAAATAATTGTGGGCTCTAAACTGATTTTCATGTCCTACACCTGGTTTCCTCTTCAATGGTTTTTATATGTGCAGAGTGCTGAAATTGATTTATTGGTGCCTGATTTTTTTCATCATGAAAACTTTTGCCTCTTTCCTGTTTTTGCCAGATTTTCATAATTGAAAAAAAAATGGATTTCCCAATTTGGGGAATTGTTTCAAATTCTCCAGGGGCCTATTTTTCCCGTGGGCCTAATGCTGCAGCATCAATAGCACCCACCTTAATCCGGCCCTGACTGTATACAGTTTGTGGAGTTCAGCTAAATTTAAATTGCCATATATTCTGCGAGATACAGATTTAATGAGAAAGGCTGTCGATTTGAATTTCGAACGAGCGAGGTTGACATTGATGCAGAGCTTCTTCTTTAAGCGCCACGCAGTGTTGATGAGAGGTTATCCTTTTTTTTTAAATTCAAATTCCTGTAAAACTTCCCAGCGAATGTAAGTCGCGCTGCAGCAATCACGAGAAGCTCTTTTTTAGTGCAGCTTTCTGGCGTTGGAGAACTCAGTTACTCTTAACCCGATTTACAAATTGGAAAATTTCAAGTACTGTAAATGTCTAACACGATCTGAATGCTGATGGAACGGTAGATAAATAAATAGCAGACGCGATTTCGAAGTTCTGAACTACAATACTATATATACACGAGTACTTTTGTGCTTGACCATCTGGATCAGCGCGATCAGTTTTGGAGCTCACTGGTGGATGTCTAATCGCTTGTATAATTTTCTTGAGATGTTGGAATGCCTGACGCCTGGTTGACTTTTAAAATGCAAGTGCGACTGCTAAATACTGTCCCAGTTCAACATACAGTATAGGAGGGTTGTCCCACTTGAACTTAGCCTTGGGTATTTCCAGAGTGAATTTACCCCTGTAAAAAAAATATAACTTAGCGTGTGATGTTCTGAATTTCTTGGAATTTTTAAGATTTTTCACAAAATTTTCAATTTTTGGCATGATGATAAGTGAAAATTTCCCGTTTTAGGCGCACTTCTCCTTTTAATTTTTTTTCGTATGAATACACCTTCGACAAAAACGCAAAAATACCTGATCTACTGTACTTCTGTTTCGCAAGTGTCGATTAACAGACTATTTAGTCTCCTCCAATTTCAAAAGTTTCGGCTTAATTAGACAGTTTAAACTTGCATATGCTCAAACGGTATATAATTTTCGTCTTCGTGAAGACTGTCATTTCAAGGCTAATTATGGTACGAGTACCATATGGCCGCCTGCCGTGTAATCATGTGAATAGCTCCTTTTCTCTGGGAATTGGTGTACGTCTTGTGCAAAATGTCAGTGCGCGTCATTTTCAACCGCAAATTTCAGACATAATGCTTCGAAATTACAGCGATAATTTTTACTGGGATGCTTCTCGAAAAATTTGTGATGAGTGTTTTTCATTGGACAGTACTGTGCTGTACTACCAAGTGCGGGTAATTGGAATCGTTTTCTGGGAAGGTTGGAAGCGCGGGACAATAATTGAAGTATCAACTTCCCTCGCGGGGCATAACCAACCATTACTGTACAGTACTAAGAACTGAGTTCGTGAGGGTACGGTTTGGTTGACCGTGATGGGAATAATGAAGTTATACGCGCTGTTGAAAGCATACGAGCCCCCGGAAAGAAGTGTAAAGCCGGTCGTTGGCACGGTTCTTACATCCCCGCTATCCCGAAAGTGAACCCCGTGGTTACCGACACTCGACTTGGGGCGAGAACTTGACCATTCGTCGCCCAAAGTTCCCTGGGTCGTGTCGGGTGGGAACAAACAATCGATGTAGCACCGCTGTCTTGGGCAATTAAGTGTGAGAACGAGGGCGGCTTTTATTCCTGTTCCGCGGATGTCGGCCCACGGCCAGGTCTCCTCACCTACCCCGAGACCTGGAAGTTGCGGATTCGGACGGTGCATTACCTACGCCGTTGTTCGCCTTGATGATGGATTATATATTCATGGAATTGCCGGAGCCCTTGATGGAGAAACAAGCTTATTCATAAATCATCTTTGTTCTCCCAACTCCGTCTATTTCGAGGTTTCTTCCGGCTCGACACCCCGGAGAATGCTCAACCCAGATAAATATTTGATACGATGGGAACAGGCCCTCGAGTTTTATTCTCATCTTGAGATGACTCGCATGAACTCCTGCTTCCATATTTTATCCGGTTTTTTTATTGTACGGAAAACTGTACGCCGCAGCCATTTATAAAAATATCGTCCTGTGCATTCAAGAGTCATTCTTGTTGCTGATGCACTGACACCTTTATCGCCTACGTGCATGAAATATTCCACGGAACGATTGGCATGCTAGTGAAGCATTTTCAGGGGGCGGAATTACTTTCCAACGACTTATCGGGCGTCACGCGGCCATTCTGTGATCCGCCCGAAGCAAGCGTGTCATTCGCATTTGGTGACTGACTTAATTTAGAATTTTCCGCGTATTTTCCGGAAATTCCCCGAAGACCTTGTGAACGTGACCTGATGTTATCGTTTGCGTTCCGGAATTTTTTTGGATCAACATCTTTCGGAAGTGTACAGTATTCCATTGCGGGCTTAGCTGAGCGAGTATGTTGAAATGCACCGATGGATAATTAGCCGTTTTCTGTTCCTTAAGTTCTTAAATGAGGTGAAATTCGTGGGTTCTTTTGGTGTAAAAATATCTTCGAAGATGGCGTGTTCAGCTGAGTTTTCTCGTTTATAAATGTATACTAGCTTTCATCATATCGTGGCATAAATTTGAAAGTTCCAGCGTATTCCGAGGACGAATTTCTGCGAAGTTACGGAAACTTTCCATCACGAGTGACTGCTCGTTCATTAAAAGGGATCTTTCTTGATGGACCCTTATTTCGCTTGCCATCCATTATTTTTATGTCGTAGTATCTTTATTGGTTGTTTTTTACGTGAATTTGATCAATTGTACTCAAAATGTCGGGCCGCAAGGCCTTCGTGCAGCTTGAGCCATCAACTGAACTCCTGAGGGATCCCTAAATTTGTTTTGCCTCTTTCATTAACTTGAAGACTCTTGAACTTTTAAATTCTTCAAGAATTAAAGTTCCAATTTAGGGTCGATTCTATTCTCCTGTTTCTGCGAATCCCAGCATGTCCGAGTATCCTTCGGCTTGTAGAGGATCCTTTCCTTCATTTTAAAGTTGTTTGAAGATTACTCGTGAACCAGGAAACTCTCATATTGAATCATTTGACTACTTCTTCCGGTAGATTTTTGCTCATTGATCGTTGTAATCATGCCGATAGAACTAAAGAAATGAACTGAAATCATTTGAATACACTTAATTCTGGAAGTTTTTTTTATTGTTGAGGCCGATGCTAAAGAAATGAAATGATATCACTCAATTCAGGAGGCGTGTGCAAAAGTGAACTTTTTCTGTTTCATCCTTCATGAACACTGCAAACTTTTGTTATACCTGCAAATTCACGAAGTTGTGAAAACTTTTAGAGCGCTTATCACAACGCCTTACCGCAGATCATGTCAATGTTGACACGTACATACTTCTGCGCTTCAGTGTCCCCGATCCCACTCAAATCTTCCAAGTGTAAACTTTGAATGTCTGGAAAAAGTTTCAGACTGCACCCGCTGCATAACTTTGAATCCTTCCAATCTGATTTATTCAGCAGTACTCACGAGTTTCGCCATTTTTACAATAAAATAACGGGTATGATGTATAAATTGGCGCAAAATTTTAAAATTATTTTCTCGAAGATATAATCATTCAAGTGAACAATCATAGGGATTACACGTGTATCTTCTAAGGAGGGCCCGTCCATGTTTTAATTCAGTAGAATACGTCCACATCTTTTGGTGGATGATACAATATTTATGATTCAATCTCTCCGTGATCATCTCGAAACATCCATTGCTGTGTTGTAATAAGGGAAACTTTTTTAGAATATTTGTTTTGCTAACAAATCATTCATACAAAATCTGCAAGTGTACAGGGTCTTTCCAGGCTTTGTCGTGTAGTATTCACAAGAAAGTATAACCCGACGCGTCGCTTTACATAATCTAGACTGAAACTGATGATCTGATAAAAATAGCAGCAAATGATTTCTCTACTCACCAGCAGTGCAGAGTTTTGGATCTTCATCATAAGCGTCAGGACAATCAGGTGCTCCATCGCAGAGGTATTGAATAGCGATGCACATGAGTTTCTCTGAAGATGGACACTTGAACGGTCTGAACCTCGGGCAGCCGCGACTTTTCCCTGCAAAATTCAGAGAACCATTACTGCTGCTTCCGGCCTCCATGAATCCGAAGTTCCTTCATGCTTTGTTCGTAAATCTTTCACAGTGCTGTAAACGAATGAAAGTCGGCTTACGTACAATGAATGCTATTGTGCATCTGACGTACGTATGCCAGTATGTGCGGTTATACTGCGGCACCGAAAAATATACAAGAGGTACGAGGGATGGTCCATAAGTTTGCAGGCTGATGAAAACGAATGGAGATTTTTGCAATTCCGAAAAAGCTTTCGGTTACATTACGTCCTCGGTTACATTAGTGCAGTTGCATGTAACTGAACGACTGTTTTATATGTTCTTCAGCATTGATCATGAGGAAGCGCACTTTTAGCTATCTTTCTCCTCTCTTTTTCAAGCTGGAGGAGCAAACATTCTTCTTTCAAGTAAAGGAAACAGTGATGAATAAACCTTTCAAGATTTTTACTGAGCTCCGCCTTCGGTGAGCCTGAGCGTCTGGTGACATCGAAGTTTCCGAATCGCAAAACTTATGGACCATTCCTCGTAAGTTACCGTTTTTTTTCGTCAGTGAAATATGAAGACGACGGCCAGACAAAAAAAAAACCGCGATTTCCGGCTGCAGTGTAGCATTGTTTCACGGTTTCTTAACTATGGCGGAAATGGCAATCCCGTCTCGGGATGTGATGCGATGCAATCTTTTCTCCTCCGTTGTGTCGTCTCACGGAACGTCTGATGGATCCACGCGAAGTATGTCGGGCGTGGTTTTTGCGGGGGCGTAATTAGGTCGTTGCACGAGACTCGTCGCCGTTTGCCGAGCTCTGTTGCTTTCTTTTTGAAATCGAAAAATATTTCGTTGGACTGTCGCGATGGCACGACGACTGTCAAGCCTGCGGCGAGATGCCTGCCTAGCCCGAGGTCTCGGCAAATTCTGTTCCGGAGTGCGCGCTCCCCCAATTTGCTTCCCATGACCAGCTGAGCTTCTTTTATTTGGTGTAGCACATGCGGCTTCGCTCAAAGGGAAGTCTTCCGGACTCGGACGGGTCACGTCTCAAGTTCCCTGCTTCCATGGTTCTGTCACGCGCGGCTTGTTGGCAATTTTCGATTCAGGCCATGAATTATGTAAGTTTCTGCTGAGTCTGCGGGAGAAAATCTTCCACGGCAGTTATTTTTCGCGCTGATGCGCCTTTTTCTGCTTCCCAAAGAAAGGCTCTGGGATGTAATCGAGTTCGCTGCTGGCGGGGGAAGGAATGTTGATGGTTGGCAATGCGCGGGGCTTGTTAGGTGCGCCAGTTTTCCCCCTATGGATTAGGTTAGCTTTACTTTGCCTGCGTTTTTCTCTCTGCATTACGGGGACATGTTTGTTCTTTGCAGAGCAGCGCGTAGAGGCTAGTACGGAAGACGGGCGTAAAATTTGCATCAGCGCTGGCAGGCGATTCCCAGTGGGGAATCGCACAGTACTGAGCACTTGTCTTAATCTCTAGCGGGAAACAAAAGGGGTTGTGCTGCACCAGGTCGCAGAAGAGGTAGCGAATCTCTTGCTGTCATCCTCGGTTTTTCTCTCCGAATGTTCGCGCCTCGTAATTGTTCGATATTTTTTATATCTCGTGAATTTCCCGAGTCCTGAGGGCCCGCATTGACGGGCCGCTCGTGGGGATTTGTCGAGATAAATTTGGTGTTTTCATTGACGGAATCCATCTTTGGAACTGTTGACCATTCGATCGTGTATCGACAGTATACAAGCTTCTGGTACATATGTTTAATGGATTCTTCTTTGGCCTCTCTTGAAGGAAAGAGGAGAAATCCAGAGGGATGAACTTTGCTGAAAAATATTTCAATGCTGCTCCTCGTTCCTTTGAAGTTCGTCTGATATTTTAAAATTATTCGAGATGGCAGTCTGCAGCCAATGAAGAATTTATATTTTTTTCGATTGCATTAATGATTAAACGCCGATGTGCTTATTGAGCTTTTTACATCAATCGCTTCTTTGATTTTCTGTGACGATTCAAAATTAAACGAATGATTCACTAATTTTCTGAGTACATCGACGCCGATGCACTCGTACACATTTCGTAATCCACAACATGATTGCAGTTTTTTTTAATCTATCTCCCGACTACCTTTGGTCAAAACCGAAAAGATGTTTACTTATGTGAGTCGCGTTTGCTCGCTCTTGATTTAAATTTCATCGTTGATCCCGCTTCTTTTTCTCCTTTTTTGAAGCTGTAATTTTGCATTTTTTCTTTTTTTTTTTAATGTGAGAAAGTACGTGCATCTGCAGCGCTGTGGCGCAGTGCTGTAGAATGAGCAACTCAATCACATCCGAGCATTGTAAGGTGATCTATCTTGTATTCAGCAGTCAACTTCTCGTCGGTGCACATTCCGACTAGGATAAAATCCAATTTGTCCCTCGTCCAATTTGCTTCATCTTGTTATCCGGTAATCGTTAAGGACAGAAGTATGCTCTACGTCAAGCACTTCTGAGTTTATCGAATTTAATCTTACAGGTTTGTTGGGCTCCAGGACAATGAAACTGCGAGTTCCAGCTGTTGGCAGACAAATTACGCTGAGCAATCCTGACGTGGATGCCGACAGATGTGTTTCTTCGAAACCTTTTTTTTCATTGAAACCGGGACTTGATGGATTAAAATTACAAAACTGAGTGAACTGCGGAAAGCTCTTGGGATTTCAAATCTCCCCTGCAATACGCTGAAACGTGTTCGTTCATGTCTGCGTATAATCCATCTCCGCGCGTTGCTGACTTGTAATTTTTAGCAGAGCATTAATTATTACATCATTAATCTCAACTGATTTCAGCGTGCTGCTGCTCAGCCATAACAAAGCCTCTCGTATGGAGGCTTTCTGCGCCAGATGTTCCCCAAGTGAGCTTTTGACGTTCCAAAACTTCCCGAAGTGCAATTAAGCCGTTGCATAATTTTTAGCATAGTCCTGATTAAATTTCAGCGCGAACTTTGAATTATCTCAAAGTTGTCGCCTGCATTACCGATTTACGAAAACGGCTTAAAGCCGTAGAAGTGATGAAATACGACGAGAAGATATAGGAGTCAGTCTTGAAAGATGCATATACCTTGTGATGCGTAAAAGTATCGGTCCATTGGAAATATATACTGTATATATATTGTATGCGTCATAGTATATCATTTTTAATAGAAATTGGTACTTAGAAATTCTGTTAGGATTTGCTAACAATACACAGTACTCTTGAGCAGCATTACTCATGGGTAAAACTTGAAAACGCACCGCTGAAATACCAAAACAATTTTGAGTTTATTCCAACCTTCTAACATGTTAATTTGAGTAACAGTACAGTATTAAATTTCCGAATGCGTTTTGTGAGCTCTGAGTATACATTTCAAATATCAACGGGAACGGGAATATTTGTTGCTCCTGTGCCATCAGAACTGTTTCAATTAATAACTCTATTGGTCAAGTTTTATAAATGAAACGACATTTTCGTGGAGTGATAGTCGTTGAAGAACGCATTTCTTTAAAATATTAGTTTTTATTGTCATCCCGTGCACTTCCGTTCGGCACTTGAGCTTCATTTTGAGGGTTGTCCATTCTTCGTGAAAAGTACGAGTAATTGTACAAATTTGCAGTCTGCCTCGTCTAAGTTTTGTGGAGTGATTCTTTCAATTGAATCTCCCGCTTATTTTGTGGGATTTCCAATATTTTGCGGGAAAGATAACTGAGTTACTCAAAATGTTCCTCCGACGCAGAAAGCTCGCCTTGTCTGTCAAAACCTGTGGCGCAAGTCTCGGAACATTTTCGGATATCCCAGCATGAAATAGAAGCGTGATCTCGAAGTTCTCGTCGTGCGAGTACTACTTTAATACTTTTCGCCCGCAAAGCTCTGTTCATTCTGCAATTTATTTTCTTTACTGGTTACCGTAATGGGAGTCATAGTATGAACCATGCCTCATGCTAATCCGTATGTTTTGCCGATGTTTTCAGGAAGCATGACGACGGTCTTCATAAGTTTTTCGTCAGTTCTTTTCTTCGTTACAGTAATGACATTCCCTAATCATTCTGGACGACTTAATTCTCCGAGAGTTCCATGTTCAGGATGCGTCTGGAACTGGATCTAATTAAGCGGCTCGTTCTTTCTCGTGATGCGACCCGCTTGTGTTGCTAGGGGTATTCTTCCGGGATCTAACAGGCTAATGCTTGAAGGATAGGAACAAATGATCTTGTTTGCTGTGTGGGCTTAATCTGGGGAACTTTCTGGGCATGTGTCTTGGTTTATTCATTTGGGGTTGCGCTCGTCCGCCGCGTTAATCCGCTTTCCTTTGTACTGTAGTGTCGTTAGTCGTCCTTACGGCAACTGATCCCTGGAACGGCGACTCCATTGGCGTAGACCGAAAGCCGATGTTTTTGCTTCACGCTTATTAGCTCTACTTTTCCAACCCATGTCGTCGTATTTCCAAGTTCAAGGCTTCGAAACTTTGACTTGATTAGGAATGACCTAGTTTCAGGAGCAAGTTGACGACCAGAATCACGATTAATTACGTTAAATAGTTTGTGTTGTCGGTAGTTTATCCGAGTCAGAAGCCTTGAAACAACTGTGGGATCGACTTTCGCGTGGATGCTTCAATAACAGTTTAATGGCCAGATCTTCCTGCGTCAGATGTTCCAGAAGTGAGCTCTCAACGTTGTAAAACCTCTCAAACTTGAATTTAACCGTCGCACAAGTTTTAGAGTTCTCCTGAACGAGCCTTTTTTAAATTTTCTGATGATTGTATTCAATTGAAGCCCAGTGATATGGTCATCTCCTTACCCCCAATGGATATACTGTACCTTCACGTTGAGCATCATTGAAGAAACATTCAAGAATACTGTATATCAATTAGTTACTTGATTTGTTTAGATTCGGGATATTATTCATTTTCTTGAGCATTTGGTACATGTGCCCCTTAGACTTGAGGAAAAATTCATGAAAATTCGTATATGTGTGCCAGTCTTTTTTCCCTTGTGGATTTGATGCGTGGTGCCTAGCTTGACGAGCGTCTCACACGAAGAACTACCCAGCA